GCTCTGGCTGCCAAGCGGAGCAGCGGGGGTGCGGCGTGCCACCAGCCAGGGCCCTGGGCCACCGAGCTAGCACTTCCCTGCGGGGGGTTGGAGTTGGGGAAGCCGAGCAGGTGGCGCAACCGCCGCCTCAGCTCCTGCAAACTCCGAGAGGTTTCTGGTCTTGTTGATGTTGTGACTGTGAGCTGTGTGTATTTTCTTTTCTTTTTTTTTTAACCACACACAAAAGAAGGGAGGAGTTAGAGGAAAGATCTAGCCACAGCGTTGTGAATCATCCCACACTGTTCTTTCTCTGGGAGAGCAGATGGATGGGGAGAATTCCTTGAGAAACAACTACAGTAATGACTGACTGGACCCCCTTCCTGTTCCCTCTCCCTGCAGTCCTGACCGTGCCTGGCGCGCCCCAGATGGAGGTGGGGTAAAGTGATGCAGACCGACTTAGATGGGAAAATAGCTACAGGCCAGCAAGCTGGGAACTTTCTGGGGCAGTGGGACGGTGGCTGTCGAAGCACACACAGTCATTCTTCCTATCGACAGGCATGGCCCTCATGTGTTACTGAATTAAAAACGGGAAGGTGATCACTAGAGGAAGGTACTTCCAGGAGCATTTTGTTCAGTGCTGCGTGGTGGAGGGAGGTGGAGATGACAGTCTCCGGTGCCTTGAGGGCCCCAAGGGAGGAGCAGTGGGCTCAGGTCTCCATATGCTGGGTCAGAAATAATCAGGTTCTTTAATCCGATTCCCAGAGAACTGTCTCATCTCAGCCTGGCAGAGGACAGCTGGTGTGTGGTTGGATTGTTGCTGATGGGGTAGAAAGGCCGGCCAGACGCCACAGGCCCTTCAGTGCATCTGGAAGAATATTCTGTAGTAGGTGGCTGCTACTCCTTTTTCTAGGGTGAGTTGTTTAGGTTTGGTCTCCCCGATCCCGTTTCCTGCAGTACAGGCTGTGTCAGCTGTCCCTGGGTCCCTGGGGTTTACAGCTCAGTGATTCTTCGTTGTTTATTTGGGGGGGAGGGGGCGGGTGTCTTTTTGACCTTTTCATTGATGTTTGATTCATTTGTTTTAACCCCCTGAAAATAGAGGCTTGATATTAGAAGTTTGAGACATTGACAATAAAGAGACTTTTGCTTCCTTCCAAATTCTACTGCTGCTATGGCAGGTTAATTCTGACCACCATGAGAAATTAGCACAGGAGTGAGATAGGGATTAGAGCATCAACTTTATCACTGGAAAAGCTGGTGGAGCGCTGCTTGGACTGAGCCTGAGGCCACAGTGGGGCTCCCTTCTTCTCACTCCATATGGTGAATTTACCATCCAGCCCCATCCAGGAGCCAGGGCTCCCAGGCAGGACATCACCGGGAGAAGAGGAACAGGGCAATGCAGCCAATGGCCCATCAAGAGAAAAACGGAATATGTGCCTTCCTATTTCATGGCCTGAGTACAAAAGATGGTAGAGGGGGCCGGTGCACCTGTCTGTACCACCTCACTCCAGCACGGCTGCTTTTACCTGAGCCCAGGCCTGGCTGGGATCATTGCAGAGCAAAAGCCGTTTACTGTTGCAGGAAGGGGAGTAGGGAACAGGATCACCGTAATGCTGAGCAGTTTGTGCAGGACACACAGATGCCTGGCAAGGGAAGCAGTGCCCTGTGTCCGCCCAAAAGAAGGGCGCCCTTTTCTCCATTGCATCCGGTCACCTGATGGGCTACTGCTGGCCTTGGTTAGTAAGTCCATCTACAGGAAGAAACAGTTGTTGACAACATTGGTGTTCCCAAGACAGGAGGTCAGGGACTAAGCACCGGGAACTAGTTTCTCCAAAATAATAACAATGAAGGGAAGTAATAGTGTCCATCCCTTCTCTCCTTTAATCCTTACCGCAACCTCCTGAAGTCAGTAGTGGTACCTACCCTATTGTGCTGATGAGGAATTGGTCCTTAGGAAGCCTGAGTAGCTCAAGGTCATGCAGGGAGCAAGTCCAAATCTGTCTCCAGAGGCCATGCTCTAGAGTCTGAGAATTTTGCACGCGTTCCTAACACATTGTAGCCTTTATTGCGTATGCTAATCCACAGTATTCTCTGAACTATCCCACTATACACATTAACTGTTAAGCTTTAAGTGAAGAGGGCATTTGTGAGTGTTTTCAGGGGCAGCAAAGAAGCAGGAACCTTGGAGACGAGGGGAGGGAAGCTGCATTAGGAGGCGAGAAGTAAGGTGGAGGGCAGGGAGTGAGACAACTCTGGGTCCCCTGATGTTCCTGCAGCATAAGAAAGGGAGAGCATTCTGGGGTTGACTCCCCAGGAGTCCAGGCCTGGCCCACAGTCCGCCTTCCGTATATCTCAGCTGTTGCCTGAGGACCAAAATGATTAGTCTGTATTACAAAGAATCAGATGAAAAGTGAGGCACGACAGCTTATTTCGGAGCACAAATTATTTCTTGATTCTGTATTCTTCCTGTAAGGCCGTTTGAACTTCATGACAACCTTTTGTGAAATAATATTCAAATATTTGGGCCTAAAGCAGATAACATCAAGACAAGTTATGTGACCATTCGTCATCTCACAGCTCTATTGTGCCTGTAAAATTGATATAAAATGTTTGCTTTCCTCTACATTAATTTGCTAAATCAAAGAACACTTTTGTTCCCTCCATGTTAAGTTATGGTATCTTCCTAACTATTCAGCCTTTTTAAAATTTATTTTTAGCACCAGGAGTAATTTCTTTAGCTGACATGTAGACAGTGGTTGGGCCCTGCCTGGTGACCTATATTATGTTTGCAGCTGTACCTTGGATTCAACCAATGGTCTATCCATTCAGCGGAAAAGAAAAGAAAGGCAGCAGATAGTAGCTGGAATATTCCCCCCGGCACTTGCTGAGAGCACGAGTTACATTTGATGGAGAAGCTTGAGGGGCCAATGGTGAGAGAGCTGCAGAGCCTTCCTCTCTGGATTGTAAATCTGGACCTCTTTCCAGCACCTGGAAAGGGACAATGTTACCACTGGATGGGGTGTCCCGTTGACTGTTGGATCTCTCTCCGTGGTCACTCAGATAGACCCCTGTAGAAAAGATACCTGTGACCTCAGATGGCCTATTTGGCTGACTTCTTATTGACTCCATAATCTGGGGTATTCCTTTGGAGATCCAGAAACATACATCTACACTGCCTTTCCAGTCAAGGGGCCTGGGATTCTCCTCCATCAGCGTGAGAGGAATGGGAGCCAGGTCCCTTTGTAGGGAGGACAAGAGCTTTGGTACCAATAAGCCAACCACTCAAGGGGATTTTCAAAAGAAGATTGTTCTGTGCCTATGCGTTTACCCTCCTTGAAAATAGACCTATAATAATAGCTAACCTCCCCTGGGCCTTTCTTAAAGCCCGGCAGTGCTTCTGAGCATCTTAGATAGGTGTTTCATTTAACCCGCATGACCACCATGTAGGCTGAGCACAGTTATAGCTCCCACTTTAGAAGTGAGGAAACTGAGGCCCAGAGAGGTTAAGTAACTTGTCCAAAGAAGTTTCATCCAAATGTGAACCTGGTAAATGCAAAGAAAGCACCTGTTGAGGGTGTGGTGGGAATGGGGCCAGATAAAATGTGATTGGGAGGGTAGTTTGATGTTTGGGTGGATTCCAAGGTTGAAGCTCTTAGGCAGCTCTTGCTGCTGGGAAGTTCTCATGCTTTGCAGAGTGGCACAGGAGGTGGACTCTGAGAGGACAGGAGACACGCACAAGGCCACAGAACTCATAAATGACAAGGCTGAAAGACACAAGTTTCAGGCTTTGACGTTTTGCCTGTTTGAAAGAAAAGTTAAAAATAAGTGTATATTTTTAACCTGACTCTTTCACCAGTGTTGAAGGTCCTATCCTCACCTGGAATAGCCTCCCCTCCCCTCTTCTCCTTTAGAACACAGCTAGCCCTGTATTTCTAGGATGACATATTGCCCCCACACCAGTCGGTCTGCAATGTTCTCTCCTTCCACTATTTATCCTCTGTGTGTGAACCACTGACCTGGCTGTCGATTGTGTGCCCTGCCTCATTCTCTCTGCTAAACTCTTCTTTCTGCCCGATTTTCGTCTAAGTGGCGTGGGTGTGTTCTGAGTTCTAAGTCTGTGTTTCATACCCCACAACACACATACACACAGTGTGCTAAGACTCAACAATGAATATTGATAGATTTTTTCTTGATTGGATGAAGCAAGATGGTAGAACTGGTTCAAGGACTATAAAAATGATTTGCCTTATAGGGTTGATAATTAAAGGATTCCATTAAATCAGTGTTTCTCTGGGGCTGGCCCCGTGGCCAAGTGGTTGAGTTCGCACACTCCGCTGCAGGCGGCCCAGTGTTTCATTGGTTCAAATCCTGGGTGCGGACATGGCACTGCTCATCAAACCACGCTGAGGCAGCATCCCACATGCCACAACTAGAAGGACCCACAACGAAGAATATACAATTATGTACCTTGTAACCGGGGGGCTTTGGGGAGAAAAAGGAAAAAATAAAATCTTTAAATCAGTGTTTCGCAGGGACAGTCCAGCATCAGAAACCCAAGGGCTTCCTATGTGGTAGGTTGCGTTTGGGCCTAGAAGAAGCTGCATGTGTCCCAAGTGACTTTTCTGCCCACTAGAGTTTGAAAGCCACAACTTAAAGTTTTTTTATGATCACATCCTATAAAACACAGCATAAATCACTCTAGCTCTTCTTCACTTAAGGTAAATATGTCCACCGCAGAAACATTCCCAACAATGTGTTGATGAATATTTACACCACGTTATTTTTCTTGCAGATTTCTAACCAGCATAATGCTGGAGCAGGAGGCTGGCAGCCTGCAGTTTTCAAAATGGCCGAGTTGGACGCTGAATTGGATCACATCTTTCCATCTTCTGTTCTTCCTCCTTCCTGGGCTAAGTTAGTGGTGGGATTTGTTTCCCTCGTCTGCTTTGCACGAAGCTATGATGGAGATTTTGTCTTTGATGACTCTGAAGCTATTGTTAACAATAAGGTTCGTGTCTTAATTCCTTTCTGATAAACTTACGTTAACCACTTACCTACATCTCCATAATAATCTTAAGTTTATGTTGAATTCTTGTCTGTTAACCTTGGGTTAAGAATTTGCCTGGGCTCAGTTGTGTGCTCTAGATTTCCCGTCTCTTTTAGATAGCGCTCCTTGATTTAGAGCCCCTTTGATTGCTGGCAGCAGGGTCTCCAACCCCGGCCTAAACTCAAGCTTCACCCTCCCCACCTACCCTATTTGAGGTCCCAGTCCACACATGTCTCAGAGAGACTGTTAATTCTAAGATTGCAAGGCAAGAGTATTCCCGGGCATTGCAGACTAAATATTTCAGGTTTTGTGAGAAATTTTCATAACTCTATGCCAGAAATGTTACCCGAAAAAAAATGGTGCATTTGCTGCAGTGATGGATGAGTCGGATGCCCCAGCAAAAGGTGCATTCTCAGCAGCAGGCCGCGAGCTCACTGCTCCTTGTCCTTTGCTGATGGCTTCAGGACAGCCTGCTGACAGCTGCTGAAGGACGAGGAGTATGCTGCCCATGCATACTGCAGTTCCTGCTCATTTCATGTTTGCAGACTCAAATTTGCTGAATTTGCAAAACCCAGCCAGTTTTGCTCACCAGTGGGTGTGAGGAAAATGATATTCTTTTTCACTCATTAACTGAGATAGGGAAGAAGAAATAGGTTTGTGGAGAGGGAGGAAAAAGATTTAAGAAAGCTAAAAGAAAATCAGAACAAGAAAACTCAGAGGCAGGGAGAGCCCAGAGGAGAAGGAATTCGGAAATGGCAGGCTTAGAGCCTTGGGGCAGTCTAGCTACTCCTCGGATATTTTATGCATGTGCCTTGACCAATAAAGAGAGCTGGAAGGAATGCACTAATCTCTGCCTAGTAGATGCAGTTTTAGGATTCTTTGTAATGTTGTTGAATGCTCTTACAATTTTGAAGTCATAGATTCTACCACATGAGGAGAAAGTCATCTTCATATTGAAAATGTTGAGAAAAATTCTCTATGAGACAAACATGTATTCTAGGGCGAGATGGGGGTAACTGTTTTGCAGATACTTTATTTGTAACATTGTAATTGATTTTCTCTGTTTCAGCAGCACAGACCAGGCATTGTTGACATTTGTTTTTAATTCAAGTGCTTCACTTGTAATTTTCCTCATGTTCACCCAGCAGTTACTGCAGATGTTTCTGCTTCAGTTCTTTTCTAAACCATGCTGAAAGAAAAAGAAGTGTGTATCTCTAAGCCACTATGTCACATTGGTGGCTTACTAGCTACGGAATTGCTTTTCTAACGAGGATGCTAGGATGTGACTTTATTTTTTTAATTGCATTCTTCATTTTGTTGAGAGTTTCTTGACTCTTCCATTATTATAAAGTGGAAGGTCTATGAAGTGTTAACTCGGACCCTATGTCGAAGAGCTTTGGTGAGAAGGCAGAGAGGACACGTGAGTTTGCTGGGTGTGGGATGCCCTGGTGTGTGGGTATGATTCTCTTTCCTTCTGTGTGGGGTACGGCAGATGAAGCCATTTTGTGGCTTTACTGCACATTGTCTTGGCCGTGTTTTCCAGAGCATCACACTGTGCCCCTTTGTTAACTTGCTAGCCCTCCCTTTTTTCTTTCCTGTTTAATGAAAGGCCCTCCTCCGTTCATTGGCCCCGTGCCTACGGTAATGTGAAACAGGCTGTTACTGGGTTTTGTTGGTGCTAAAGACTGCTTTCCAGATGCTTCCTTGTAGGGTTGAGTTGCCTTTTTTCATTGAGATGATGGTTTTCTTTGAGACAGTGGAATTAGCAGGAATTTCAGACAGAACACATCTTTTCCATAAATCGTTAGGAGGAAAAATTGACCTTTCTTCCTGTAGCGCGCCCTGCGATGTGTAGGCTATACCTAATCAAATATTTAGAGCTTGGTTGGTGTTCATTTTCTGCTCAAATGGAGGGAAAGATTCTCCGCCCAACCCCTTCACAACTGGCAGGTACTTCTGGGACAATGAAAAAGAAGACAGACTTCCGGTTTTGTAACTGAGTAAACTAAGTTAGTGAGTGGATTACACAACCTTCACGAAATAGCTGGCTCTTAGGAGTTGTGTGCTCAAGGCCTCTCAAGCCAATACCCAAAGGAAGTGAAATTCACCCTCAAAGTGGGTATCAGGTGACAAACTTTGCATCTATCACCTGTCCTCAAGCCTTCCCCTTTGAGTCAGCAAGCCCTTAAGTAGCAAATTCTTACCAAATTCCACCATGTGCCTTGCTCTTGGGCCGCCCAAGATTTGCCATACCTACTTCTTCTGTGTGGGGTCTTCCCCACCTTCAGATTGTTGTAAGCTGCAAAGACTGTCCACCTTAGATGCAGACACAGCACGAGCTCTGCTATCAGGCGGACCCACCTGTTGGCGTCAGGAGCTACTCATGCAAAGAGGGCAGGGTCTGATGTGATTTGTGGGTGTGCTCCCGGCTGCACAGTCCCAAACCTGCCCACCCGCGAGTCAGCGAGCCTTGTGATCTCCTTTAAAGCCTTCCTTTTCTGCTTAAGGCAATCCATTGATCTTGGTTACTGCCACGAGCGTCTCGACTGATAGCTGGTGTGGTGCTTAGCACATCATCGTTCCTAGTCCCTGAAATGTTCCCGTTTAATTATGCTTTAAAGGGAATATTAACATGCAGTTTTGTTACTTCTTCATAGTGCCTTGTCTGCCTTTCTTCTTGTTAGACACAATTTAAACAATCTGGGTGCATATTTAAATGTAAAAAAATGCATTTTTAAGTATCTGTAGTACAGTACCAAATTAAATTACCTTAGTAGTGAGATAGGTCTCATTTTTTAGTATTGAATGATCTTCATCTTTAAAAATTATGTGGAAGTTGTTTTTCTTTAATTTTACTCTCTGCTTAGCTCATGATCAAAAATGGGGAACTTTAAAAAATATATGTTAATCCGCTCATGTTTTAACTGGGATATTTTTGGTAAATTACCTTATGTGTTGGATATGAGAGAGGGTAATAGTGATCTTGTTCAGCTATATGATCCATTTATTCACTAAACATGGATTAAGCACCTTCTCTTTACTCCCAGCAAACACAGGTGTGGCCCGGGCCTGGTAGAGCCCCAGTCCAGCGGGGCAGACAGATAATAGTTGGGTGATTGTAAATCACCAGTGTCCCAAGCAGTGAGAGGACAGGTGCGACACACCCCAAGACCCATGGAAGGGGAATTGCATCAGCTCAGGAAGGTCATAGCTCGCTGGCTGAGATAGGAATTGTGGGAGGAGTTGAGCTGTGAAGAGTTGAGGGGTGACTGTCTGGATAGAGACCTGCACATGCAAAGCCTTCGGGGTGGGTGGCAGCAAGAGCTGTGTGGGGAGCAGACAAAGGCCAGTAGCAGGAACACAGAGTCCGAGATGAGCCTGCAGAGTTTGGCAGGAGCCAGAGCACCCCAGGCTGTGACATCCATGTCAGGACATCAGCTTTGCCTTGGGGGTGGAGCGGGGGTGGGGGTTAGCTATTGCAGTGTTTTAAGCAGGGTAGGGTGGGGTGACCCAGTTTGCGTTTGGGACAAATCGATGTGGAGAACATATCAGAGGGCACAGTGGACTCACTAGGAGTCCTGGCTGTATCCTAGGTGAGTAATGATGGCGCTTGGCCCAGGACTGGTAGGAGAGATGGAGAACAGAGGTATGAGGAACTTGAAGAAGAGGTCTTGGTGAGGGCTTAGATGTGGGGTGAGGAAAGAGTTGTGACTCCTTTGCCCAGACTGTCCTCTGTTGTGTTCCTGTAGGACCTCCGAGCTGAAACGCCCCTTGGGGACCTGTGGCATCATGACTTCTGGGGCAGTAGGCTGAGCAGCAACACCAGCCACAAGTCCTACCGACCTCTCACCGTCCTGACTTTCAGGTGAGGTATGCCAGCATGGGCTGTACGGGATGGTCACCCGAGGTTTGTGCATGATATTGTACCAGGTTTGATGGGACAAGGTTCTCCGTGTCAATGAGTCAAGATAGTGGTTCCGAGGCGAGTATAAGCCTCTCACCTATGTGGGTGTCTGAGAAGTATGTACTAACTTCAGCCATTAGGAGTTAGGTCATGGGAAGATGGAGAGAACATGCCTGAGGAAACTTTGTTTCAGGGCTCGCTCTGGCAGTACACATAGAAAAGTGGAACACTACAGAGAAGATTAGCATGGCCCCTGCACAAGGATGACACAAAGCGTTCCGTACTTAGTACACTTCTTGGAGGTGGGACCCTTTGCTGGTTAACACCAAGAAAATGATGTGAGTGAAAACAACATGTGGCATCTAATGAAACTGATTTTTTTCCACTACGAGAAAAAAGGTATAAATTCCAATATACAGAAATAAAATGAAGCTAAAAACAATCTAACCCCCCCCCATTAATCAGGGAGCTGTTTCCATTAAATAAATTTGTTCACCCCACAAAAGTTCCCTTTCCTAGCTGTTTCTTGGGTGCATTAGATAGTAGTGTATAGATCTCATTGAAGCATGGAAGTGATGAATTAGAACGGCTGGTACTTGAAAAGCAGTCAGAAATAAGGACCCCTGACAACAAGCAAGTGTTTCATTGGACAGAAGAGTGGTGGACAAACTGCAATTTTATTGAGCAAGTTACGTGACTGTCCTAAACCCAGGTCCCTGTGGGCTGGCCGTGAGTAGTGTGTGGTATATTGTATCTTCTTGGAATGTAGTCTTGCCTTTTTGCACTTAAAAAATTATCTGGTTTTCCTTTCCCTTTTCCTCTCCAAGTATTTTCTGTCCCACTCCTCTGAGATGCCTTTATCTTCCATTTTCCTTGTGCAGTTAATTATGTTCTTACCTTTTCTTCAACCTTCTTAGCTTGACAGGCCTTATTTATCTTGATGCTGTTTTTACCAAACTTGCACACAGTCTTTTTCTTCCGCCTTTAATATTTTCACTCAGCCTTTTCCTTCGGACGATTTGCGTGTTATTTCACGTGCTTCTGCACGGGTGGTATGAACACTCTTCGTTTACTACAGGATTAACTACTATTTGTCCGGAGGCTTCCACCCTGTGAGTTTCCACGTGGTCAACATCCTCCTGCATGGTGGCATCTCTGTCCTCATGGTGGATGTCTTCTCGGTGCTGTTCGGCGGCCTGCAGTACACCAGTAAAGGCCGGAGGTTAAACCTGGCCCCGAGGTCATCCCTGCTGGCCGCACTGCTGTTTGCCGTGCATCCAGTGCACACCGAGTGTGTAAGTATCGTCTGCCCGTGGCCTCTGCACTCGTGTAAGGATTAGAAGGCGCCTGTATGTCGGCTCGTTTCCTAAAACAGGTGTCCCTTAAATACTTGTTGAGCTATAGAGAGTGTGCTCTGCCATGCCCTGCCAGACATCTGAGACCATTATATGTAGGTCCAACAGGTCTCTCTTGTGAAAAATGCAGAGTCCTGTATTGGTGAAGACTTTGTCATAACCATATGGTATGATCTCAGCTGATACTTTCTGTTTCGCTTATATGACCACGCTATAAAGGAATATTGCCTGGCTTTGGGGTCCAAAAGCCAGAGGCCTAGAAACTTTCTTCAGCAAAGGGTCTGATGCAATTTTCCTGTGATAGCTGAGAGCTTTATAATTTTCAAAATGCCTTCTCATACTTAACGTGACTGTCCCAAAAACTCAGTGAGAGCAGATGGGCTCGCATAACAGTTTCCACTCTACAGAAGAGGAAATGACCTGGGAGGATGAAGGAAAGGACTTCCCCGAGGTCAGTCAACTGATGGATGGATGTAGAGATAGAACTTAAATTCTGGTCTCCCGAGGCCCGGGCTGAGGAGGTGCCGACAAGCTTCGCGTTGAACTGGAAAGTGGGTCCCACGCCCTGCTGGGGATTGCTCGTGCATTCTCCCCACCTTCCTTCTCATCTTCACTCCCTGTGTTGTCCTCCTTCCCTTGACGGACTGCCGGGGTGGTGGGGCAGCTCCTGACAGGTGACTCACCTGCTGTGCAGGGGCCCGTACCTGTATTCCATTGAGCTGCTGCTGAATATATTTGGTACAAGCTGTTTTGGAATTTAACTAAACACTTAGGGGATTTTTAGTGACCAGCCTATCCCCAGCACCATGGAACCCTTTAAAAATGTAAGTCATGTTTGCTGAAGTAAAACATTTGATTCTAGTCATTCATTGTGTGAGCGTGACGTGCCTGCGATAACACACTGCATGTACTTTACAGCCTCTCCACAACAGACTTCTGCACTTAATATGTATTTAAATACCTACATATTAACCAACTGTGCTGAGCATCTTGAAGTAAGTTTCAAAATATTACACAGAATCCCTGCCTTTAGCATCTGATTTTATTAAGTGTATTAAACTATCTCTTCTTGGGTATTTAGAGGATTGTGGAATTCTCACAACCTTCTAATATCTTCTTACTTTAAAGCTGATTAAAAAAATTCTCATAATTTTTTGCTTCAGCAAATTCAGAGGACTGAAGGGAACTGTTGTAAAAGATTAGTTGTAAACTATTTATTTATATGTAACTGTGACTGAAGTAAAATTTGTTTCAGTGTGAGTTCTCTTTATGGTGAAATGTTTAGCAGTAGCATACACATTGATCAGAAATCAGGGAATTTCTGGCAGAAGTACTGATTGACTGTTCTGGTTCTTGTCTAATTTAGTGTGAACTTAAATAAAATATTTGAGTTATTAACCAAAGAAATTTTTCTAAAATTCTGATGTTAAATATTGTGAAGTTAGTTTATAGCAAAAGTTTGAAGTGTCAACAAGTGTAACTGGATGTGTACATACACACACACACACACACACACACGCCCCAGATAAATGTAATCCCAGAACATTTTAACTCCAAATTCTTTGAGATATTTAAAAAGAACCCATGGGAAGTCTAGCTATAGGAGAGAAGGAAATATTTAAAGAAAATCTCTTCATCTCCCCCACTCCTCCATTGCATGAAACCCATTCAAACTCAAACTGTAAGAAAAAGTTATGGGTCATTAAAATTAGCATTCTTAAGAGAGATTTTTTGTATGTTTACCGTTCATTGTTTTGGCAAATTGTTTGTAGTCAGTTTCCTCCTATCTGTACCCCCATGTTATCTCCTTCTCTACATTTAACCCAGCCTTAAAAATTTAAAAATGAACGAAAAGAAGGTCGACAACTCGAGTAACCAGCCGGAGGTAGAGCTCCTTGGATGAGCTTCTCTGTGTTGGTTTTACTTACTTTATCCTCTGTCAGGGTTTGGAGTTCTGGGCCGTGCTCAGGCCCTGTAGGTAGCCACAGCTGAAAGGAAGGTGTTGCTCTTTTCCCTCTCATCGTCCTGAGGGGAGGCCCATGGGACCAGGGGCTCTAGCTGCTCCCTTGTCACTTACCTCAGTGCTGAGGAGCCCATACCTGCCTCCCCCCGAGCTGCTGTGTCCTTTGTTCCTTCCTGCTCCCCTGTGTATGGAAGCACCCTTCGGGATTCACGCGGGAACTATCAGTGAGCCAGCACTTGCTGTGTACCAGGCTCTGTTTGGTTTCGCTACGTCTCTGATTTTACAGTACCCCTAACTGAGTGAGTTACAAGCCTGAGTTTTCAAGAGCTCTCCTGGCACGTTCCGTTCATTGGTGAGGTAATTGGACTGTTACCCCCCCCCCCCAACGCCGGCATCCTGGCCTGCTTGTTCCAGATCTGTGTAACCTTTGTTTGTCCTTAGCTTTCTTTCATATGCATGGCATTCACAGGTTGGATTCATCAGCTCCTTCAGTCTTCTTTTTTTTTTGAAGATTGGCACCTGAGCTAACATCTGTTGCCAATCTTCTTTTTCTTTTTTTCTTCTCCTCCCCAAAGCCCCCCAGTACATAGCTGTATATTCTAGTTGTAGGTCCTTCTAGTTGTGCTGTGTGGAACGCCACTTCAGTATGGCCTGATGAGCGGGGCCATGTCCATGCCCAGGATCCGAACCGGTGAAACCCTGGGCTGCTGAAGTGGAGTAGGCCAACTTAACCGTTCCACTCAGTCTCAGGGCCAGCTCCTCCTCCATTCTTCTTAGCAATTGTGTGACACCACGGGTTGCAGAATGGATAATCGCCCTCAGCATTTCATATCTAACCAGTCTAGTGGGAAACTGCTCCTTAAAGGCATTCTTTTTAGCTATTGGTTGTATAGACACTTGGGAATTGTATGTAAATATAGTAATTTTCACATTCATTGCAGAGTCTCTTATCTCCGTAGTCCTATTCCACATCTCACGTATCATAAATCTGTCCTTTAAGAAAAGGTGAACTTAGGGGCTGGCCAGGTGGCACAGCCTTTAAATTTGCACATTCTGCTTCGGGGCCTGGGGTTTGCTGGTTTGGATCCCGGGTGCGGACATGGCACCGCTTGTCAAGCCATGCTGTGGCAGGCATCCCACATATAAAGTAGAGGAAGATGAGCACAGATGTTAGCTCAGAGCCAGTCTTCCTCAGCAAAAAGAGGAGGATTGGCAGCAGATGTTAGCTCAGGGTTAATCTTCCTCAAAAAAAAAAAAGAAAGAAAAGGTGAACTTACCCGCTGTTAATGGAGAATCACAGTAAAACTTTGCTATATGTCATATCCAGGTGCTCGTTAGTAAAGAATGCCACATGAACTAGACCAGCACTCATGGGTAGAATTCCATGGCTTTCAGTGCCATGAAACATTTGGAAAACAATGATTAGAGTAATCAGCCTAAAAGAACTAAGGCACAAATTTTGTATTGCTTCATTGTCACTGAGGTAAACAAGGGAAGGGGGTCATCAGATGTGGAAAATGGGGGTAAGAAATGGTAGAGATTGTATTCTGTTTTCATCCTACTTGTCAATCACTTTTGAAGCGTTCTGCTTTGCTGGTTAACCCACGTGATTGATTTTGGTCTGAAGGGAGGAAAAAATGACAGAGGCAGCTTTGAACAATTATTCCTGCTCTTTGTCTATATGCCTGATAACTTTTAACACTTATTTCCCACCTTTCTTTCATGTTTCCAATCAAATCTTTTTTTAAATATCATGTTCTTTGAGCTGATCACATTTTCTGGTTGGAAATCCACTTGGTAACCTGGTCAAAAGCATAGGTCTCTGGAGCTCTGGAGGGCAGCGTGCTGAAGACAGGGCTTTCACTGCACATAGGTGTCGCTGACTGTCCTGCTCACAGAGTAGCCAGCCATAGGTTCAAACCAATCCAGCTTTCTCTTGAAAGCAGTTCACCCAAGGCCTAGATCAAAAGGGAAAAGAAAACCAATTGTAAGATAAGACCACACGGCTGTTGCACAGTTACACAGGTTATTTTAGTAGATGGCAGAGTCTAGTAAGGTTTTTGTTTTCTATTTCTAAGGCATTTTTTATATTGCTGAAGTTTTGCTTAAATATGTTTTACGTAAATCTTTTCTTCTTCTTCTTCCTTTAAGGTTGCTGGTGTTGTCGGCCGCGCAGACCTCCTGGGTGCCCTGTTCTTTCTGTTGTCTTTCCTTGGCTACTGTAAAGCATTTAGAGAACGTAAGCATGATGTTTGCCTTCTTAATTTTGCATCTTCTTCGTGTTTTTGTCCTATTGAGCAATGTTTTAACAGAGGGGAAATTATCTGTTTATATAAGTTATCACTTTGAGGGAATGTGGGTCAAAGGGTGTAAACTCCCTTTAGATATGTCTCCCTACTCCATTGTTTTTTCAATAATTCAGGGGTTGTGCATCAGTGTTCACATGAGAGTATCCTGTGGGATGGTGAAACCAAGAGCTGCTGCTCTTGCTACCAAAGCTGTTGTGATTGATTTTTGTGGTTTTATTTCCAAGAAAATTGTAGAGGAAGAAGCTTTTGGTGATTTTTTTTTATTAAAACCTCTTGAAAAAATACAAAAATGCTAAAATGTGAATATGCCCCTGGACTACGAGGTTCTTGTTTTTTCATTGTAGTGTTGTTACTACTTACAAAGAAAGTCATTGTTGGACTAATGAAGTTGCAGTGACCATTTGGGGAGAGGATTGCTTGGTTATTAGCAGCGGTGCATTTATTGACACAGTGGAATCTCTGTCTAACTCTACTCCTTATATGGATTCTGATCGTCTCCGAGTCAAATCATACCTTCCAAATTGTTGTATCATAGAAGTTGGATATGATACATCTAGAATTTGTATAGCGATTATGCATACTGGCCCCAGCAAGTGTCAGAAATTCACCTTCTGTTATTTCGTGACATATAAAAAGTCACATGAAGTTCACGTTTCCATGTCCACGTATGAAGCATAACTGGAACATAGGTACACCCGCATGTTTTCATTTTGTCTGTGGCTGCTTTTGCCCTACCATGGCAGTGGTTAGGAGTTTCAATAGAGGGTAGAATGCTTACTGCCCCATCCTTTACAAAGTTTGCCAGCTCTTGGGACACATGAATTCACAGCGTAGCTGTCCCCATCCGAGTGGTTCCAAAAATTATTTTAGCAGTGATTAATAGGGAGTTTCTAGCAGGAAGTTTTTTCCTCATGAACATAGATGACTTTGCTGTTAATAGCTGCCATTTATTGACTATCTGCTCGCACGCGTGTGTATGTGTTTATATATTTTTCTCATTTAATTATGTAACAGTCTTCAAGGTAGGTGGAATTTCTTCCCCCATTTTCCAGATGTAGGACTCTGAGTTTAAGTAACTCTCCCAGGGTCACAGAGCTATTTATGGCAGAACCGGTTCACTCTCGAGACTGTCTAACTCACTTCAAAGCCAGCACCAGATGCATCATGTTCTTCTGCTTCCCTGTACTCCTGGGACCAGTGAGGCAAGCTTACCGAACAATCATGAAAAATAGCCAGGAGGTACATTCAGTTCTGTTAACAAATCGTTAAAATGTTGGGTGTGATAATGACATCACAGGTATGCTTTAAAAACAGTCCTTTTCTTTTAGAGACATATGCTGAAATATTTATGGATCAAACCATATAAAGTCTGGGATTTGCTTCAAAATAACCTAAGAGGAAGCAGGAAGGGTGGAGGCATATAGATGAAGACAGACAGGCCAGGAGTCGATCACTGTTTAAGTGAGCGATGGAGACCTGAGAGTCCCTATATTAGTATCTCGACTTTTGTATGTGTTTTTTGTTTTTTAAAAAAGGCAGTTTGTTGTTTTAATAGCTAGGTGAGTCATCAGATTAAGAATCAACAGATTTTGGTGACTTTTTTTTAATCTTTTAAAACATTGTGTTTAAGACAACCAGATTATATATTTTTAAGGATTTTTTTTCCTTCTGACATTACATGAAATGAGTGAATAATTAATGACTTAATAATTTTGTTATGGAAGTGGAAGGGAATTTCTAAAACCAAAATGTAATGATATAATTTAGCAATTAAACATGAAAAACTTAAAATATTAGAACAGGCAACTGGAATACATTTATAAAATATTTGATACCAAAGAACGTAGGTGATATATGTCATACAATAAAATGAACACCTGTGAGCTCATCTCCCAATTTTTTAAAAGTCACCTTTTCTAAAATTAGAACAATTTAAAGACTCCTTCCTCACCCCTCCCCCACTGCCTCTTGTCTCTAGCTCCTTTGCGAGACCAGGGACCATCCCTGAAGCCCGAGGTTCTGCCCCTCCCTGAGGTCTCTTTGGGTTTGGAAGACAGGCATTTAGAAGGTCAAACAGCATCTCCTTCCTCTCCTCGCCCTCCCGACAGCTCCCAGGTGCTCCACAAAATAAAGGCTGATGGGGCTGCTTACCTTACTGTTCGCTCTCAAGGATTCTGGAAGAGTTTCTAGAACAAGTTTATCTTCCCAAAAATGCTATCCTGAGGTGAAAATAGCACACAGACTAGATTCTTCTCTTGTGATTTTTAATGTCTTAGAAATTTGTGGGAGTTCCCTAGTGGACACAAAACAAAGAATTAGTTTTACTGTTTAAATCTCAATAGACTTTTTTCTTTATTGTATTAAAATATACCTAACATAAAATTGACCATTTTTAAATGTACCTTTCAGTGACATATTAAGTACATTCTCATTGTTGTGCAACCATCACCACCGTCCATCTCCAGAACTTTTTCATCTTCCCAAACTGAAACTCTGTACCCATTAAACAATAACTCCCCACTCCCCCTACCCTCAGCCCCTAGCACCCGCCATTCTGTTTTCTGTCCATGAATTTGACTACTCTAGGTACCTCGTATAAGTGGAATCATGCAATATTTGTCCTTTTGTGACTAGTTTATTTCACTTAGCATAATATCTTCAAGGTGCATCCATGTTGTAGTATGTGTCAGAAATTCCTTCCTTTTTAAGGCTTAGTAATATCCCGTTGTATGTATAAATCACATTTTGTTTATCTCTTCATCTGTCAGTGGGCATTTGGGTTGTTTCTACTTTTAGACTATTGAGAATAGTGCTACCATGAACACTGGTATACCTAATAGACCTTTTAAAAAAGAGCAATAGACTTCCTTTTAACCCTTATTTTTTTTCTACAAAAGACTTCGGCAGGATTGTAAACTCTTCTAAAACAGACTGTACAGGTATTTATAGTTATAGGCCTGGAACATCTGTATAGAAACTGTCCATAGTTTCCAAGGGTAGCTTGGGAAGGGCTGGTGAGATTTTCCTCTCACTGCCCCTCCTCCATCCCTCATGTTCGGCTGAGCATGGGGCTCCGGTTGTGTGTTTTGGAGCACCTGTTCTCTCAAACCTGCAACTCCACTAAGACACAGTGGAAGGGGGACCCAAGTGGGCCCAGACTGTGCCATGCTCACTCAGGACTTGGTTATACCCAACCATTCCCCACCCCCTTTTATTATTATTATTTTATCATACCCAGATAAAACCACCACTTTTCTGGTGACTCTTCATTTTTCTGAAATGGCAGAGGGTTTGGGGACAGCCGAATAGAACAGCTTCAAGTACAGAGAACAGTGATGGTAACTTTTCTTCCAGAGACTGAAAGTTAGCTTAGCAGTAAGGCATGTCCGGCTCTTCCCCATAGGTGGGGATCTCCCCACCTATGATTATTATAAAACTCCAAAGTGACACGTGACCCCCAGGGATCTGGCGGGGGGCAGGGGTGTTGCACCTGCCCCATAGCAGATTCAGCACTGTCGTATGGCTTTTCCATAAGACTGTGAATCAGTAATGGGATTGGGAGAGAGGGAGGGGATCCACTTACTACCTCACTATGTTCATTACAAACAGTGGGATTTTCTGTTCTTAAATTGAGAATTAAATCTAAATTAGCAGTTATATAGGAAAACAATTTATTGTTGGTAGTATTTTTCCTGAATAAATTAAAAATTAAATCTGTTGGCTTATCTCGAAGACAACTCCAAAGTTTCGCGATTTTAATTTTAACATATCTTCCCTTAGAGTAACTGCTCCCTATTCTGAATGGATTTCAAAGACATCAGAAGTGCTTTTTGAAGAAAGTACTAAATACTGATAGATTCAACATGCAGGATACATTATTTAGGATATATAATAAAATCTGTCACTGCTTCTAAAGATTGCTCTGGTGAAATAATGGAAAAACTATCAGAAAACTGAAAATTCGTCTGTCAAGTGAACTGATACATTTATTGCCTCTTTTAATGGAATGTTCTCATAGAATGGTGAAAAACTAAAGACATTTTATATACTTTTCCTGGATCCTTTACTAACCTCTCTCTGTTTCAGTTCACAAATGTCCATGTTCTGATATATGTATCTGTGTTTAATTCATTTGTAAATTATAAAATTATTTCCAAGAGCCATCCATACAAAAGATACATTTTTTATAAAGGCTTTGAAAACTAATACGAAACATAAAAGTGCTTAATGTGTGATGATTTTTCAATTAATGCTTTGATTCATGAGAAATTGGTGAAGTATATTTCAGTACTAATGGGGCTATGTTAACTCTTAGTGGCAATATGAGCTTCCTTTTATGGCCCAGAAGCATTCTTTTAACATTTATGTTTACTTTAAAATTGGAAAGACATTGTCAGCCTTTTAATGTTAAGTGTGTAAATGTTTTCAAGAAAGTTAACCTGGAAATATTTGATGTTTGCACACTGATAGCAGTGGTTGATGTTGCTTCTGTGGAAACCCTTTTAAGAATATGAATAGATTTTCATTTGGTTGAAGATACTTAGAACAGTTAGAAAATGAATGGATGGATTAGGAAGCCTTTGAAGAAACCTTTCTGTTGACTTGTCTACAGGCTGTCCCACCTTCCTGGGGTCTCTTTTCGTCTTCACACGAACTCTTTCTAGGGAAGGAAAGGGTAGATTAAACTGGAGCCAGTGGACCCTGGTATAGTCCTTTGCAGACGCTGACAGCTTCATCAGTCTTTGGAAAATGTAAAGCTATAGGAGGTTGCCTCCCTACACACATCTGGCCTCAGTGTCTTGACTCGGGAAGTTATTATTGGCCGTGGACTTTTGTGCCTTTCTGTCCTCTGGCTGTATCCACCTGCCCAGGCAGACTTTGAGTTATAGATCATAATCGTTTTTTTTCCTGGGAGTTTAAAGTGGGTGGT